ATTTCTGAAAGATCATGTGACACTGAAGACTGGAGTAATCATGCTGAAAATTCAGCTGCGCATCACAGGAATAAATTACAGTTGAACAGATATTCACATAGAAAATAGTTATCACATAGTTATTTGAAATATTTTACAATATTACTGATTTTACTGTTTTTTTTAACAAATAAATCAGACTTTGTGAGCAGAAGACTTCTTTCAGAAAAAAAACCCATCCCAACACTCTTAAAAATATAGTTCCAAAAGTGGGTTTTCACAAGAACCTTTCAGTGATCAGTTCTTCAAAGAACCACTTTTTCTTAGTTTGAAGAATATTTTAATAATCAAATCCCTATAAAGAACCTTTTTTGCAATGGAAAGATTCCATTGATATTAAAGGTTCTTTATGGAACTATAGATGCCAATAAAGAACCTTTATTTTTGCTAATTTTGAACGATATTGTACATCTTTCTGGTGCTTGAAAGAACCCAGAAACCAGTAAACTGATCTTAAAAGCCTAACCTCTGTAGAACCCTACAGACCAAAAATATTCTTTGCTAAATCTAAGCAGGTCCTCAGAAGGTTCTCTGAGGTTCTCCAGCTGTGTGGAGGCTGAGGAGCGATCATCCCCCCAGTGTGAGTGAGATGACTGTCAGACTAAACTCTCACACTGCCAATACAAAAGACCAATAAACATTCAGGTTCCTCCCACCGGCTTCACCCTGCCAGATTCCTCCGCCTGCATATAAAAGCCTATTTTAGAGAAACCACACTGTTTAATATCCACGTTTTCCAACAGAAATCAGGCCTTAGTGTGAATTTGGGAGTTTACATGTGTGCACGCACATTTGTGTGCAACCTTTTCCAGATACAAGAGCAGAAACCTGCTGAAGGACGCCACAGCAGTCAGAGATCACTGATGTGATTAATGGTGTCAGCTAAAGGTCTGAGATTTAAACAAACTCTAAAACAAACGTTTCACTTTGTATTGTTCCAATATCGCTAGTATATTTTAATGAATCAAAGAGAGATTGTTCATTATTCTCCATGTTACCTGAACCCAGATATCACCATTTAATTATCAGCAAAAAAAACAAACAAAAAAAAATCAAATTTCCAGCTGTGCCGAAATCAAAAGTGCATTATGGGTGTTGAAGTTTTTGGTTTTCTTTAGTCTTCAGCACAGATAAAAAAATTTAAAAAAAAGTGATTCTATTTGATAGATAGTTTTAAGTTTTATTAAAAGCGGTGGTGAATTACCACTTTAATATATTAAAAGTATATTTAAAACTTATATTTGTAGCAGGCTTTGACATTTCTTATATTGAAAGAGAGATCTAGAGTAGAGCTCAGAATATTATTAGAATTGAGTGTGGATACTTTTGAAAATAAGCTGTAACCAAAACTATAAGCTGTAAATAAAAACTAAAACCTAAATAGTAATAATTAAAATAAATAAATAAAAATAATAGAAATGACCAAGCACATTTAATGTGGGCTATTATCAAATAAAGTTGAAAGAAAATGAAATAAAATATAAATATTAAATGAAAAACATAACTGAAATAAGTTGAAGCATGAAAATTACTTACTGGAAATAAATTAAACTAAAATTGCTAAAGCTAAAACTTAAATAAAAATACATAAAACCTAATTAAAAACACAATAAAATATATATAAGGACATATTACAAAAAATAAACGAAAAATTAAAATATAAAAAATAATTCAAGACATTAATAAAAACTAGTATAAGTAGTATACATGTTTCTACTGCATAGAAAGAGTTATTAAAAGCCCATCAATTACCCCTTTAATATATTACATGTATATTTAAAATGAGTAATAAAAAATCATGCAAATTTAATTCCATAAATTCATAGACTCTCTTAACAGTAGGCAACCACCCAGAACACATTAATAATGCCTTAGATCAGCCATTAGATCAACCTAGCAACCACCTAGCAACACCCACATAACAACACACAAGCTTTGCTTTGGAGAAACACCTACATTTCCTTTGGGAAATATCCCAACTTATAAAAATAATGCTTCTTTACTGGCATGGATGTTTCCATAAAGAACCTTTAACATCCATGGAATCTTTCCATTCCACAAAAGTTCTTTATTGTGGAAGGAGGTTCTTTAGATTATTAAAATGTGAAACATGGCTCTTTTAAAAACTGTTGACTGAAAGGTTCTTTCTGGAACCCAAAATAGCTGTTCTATGACATCACAGCGAAAACCCCCTTTTGGAACCTTAATTTTTCATGGTGTACATCACAGCATTCTGGACTTCCAAAGAGGCGGGGCTTAATACGATGATGCCATAATATGTAAAAAATATTTTTTTTTCTATTCAAATCAGCAGTTGATGACTCTTCTGTTGCTGTTTGCTGTGTTTGGGTGGCTGCATCACAGAGACCTACCTTCTAGGCTTTGCCACCTTCCCGCTGTTTCCCTGGATTACTGGCTGCCCTTCCCCAACAAAGCCTGAAGGATGTTTGCACAGCTGGGTGACCAGAGAGAGAGACTCCAGCTACCCCAAAAATATCAAACCGTCCAATTCCCCGCTCGGCACTTGCTGTGTTTTTTTTTCAGCGTCAGTGTAAAAGGTGCAGGTCTGCGTCAGTATTTATTTGCTCAAGAGGACGACCCAACTGTGACATAGAGTTCAGGATCTTTTAGAGAACCTGCTTTGTTCATCACAAAGATACTATTTTTGTTTCCATTACTGTCTTTATTTTATTTGAATTGCAGTTTTTTCATCTCCCAAGAATGAAATCAGCGTCTTTGTAAGTCTTTATATACGATGGCGTGACTCTCTGAATAGTTCGGGAATTTGAGCGAATGTCGAGGGAATGCTATTGTTTTGGCTTCGTTTCAAAAGATCGAAATCATCGTGACTCATCATTAAAGCACTGAAACCATGTCATAAAGACCAATAACAAATCACAATGACCCTCCATTCTGAATCTTAGAAACTTGCTGACAAATACACATCATGCTGTGCAGAGTCTGTAAACAAAGTTTTGATTGGACAAACACAGAATGCAGACCTTATTACATCATTATTTTGGCTCTGCTTTTCAAGTCCTCCCGGAAACTCCTATTTATGCAATTGGAAGTCAGTTATGCAGTGATGCATGTTTTGATTGGAATAAATTGGATGTGCTGGACAATTTCATATTGATTTCTGTCTTTTTCACTTGCAATGACAACTGCACTAGCACAAGAAATAAAGGACATTGTTGTGTAAACAAAGCTTGTTTTATCTTTCTCATCTTTTTGTCATAAATGTCTTCATAGACTGGCTTAAAGGAAGAATTCACCCACAAATGAAAATTAGCTGAAAATGTCCTCACCCTCAGACCATCGAAGATGAGTTTGTTTCTTCATCAGATTTGGAGAAATGTAGCACACCAGTGGATGCTCTGCAGTGCATGGGTGCTGTCAGAATGAGAGTCCAAACAGCTGATAAACACATCACAATAATCCACACCACTCCAGTCCATCAGTTAACATCTTGTGAAGCCCTGTGAACAAATCCATCATTAAGGCATTTTTAACTTCAAGCCGTTGTTTCCGGCTAAAATAGAGTCCATAATCCATAATAATGCTTCCTTCAGTGAAAAAGTCCATCTCCTGTTGTCTCTCACATTACAATCCACACACATATTTGTTTAGAGCTGTTTTGGCTTGTAAACAGTGTTTGATCTGTGCAGATTTCTCTCCTGATTTTCACTGGAGAAAGCAATGTTATGAATAGAGGACTCGTATTTTAGCCAGAAGCGACAGTTTGAAGTTAAAATCGTCTTGATGGATTTGTTTGTTACAAAGATGCAGCTTTTGGATTACTTACATTATTGTGATGTTTATCAGCTGTTTGGACTCTCATTCTGACGGCACCCATTCACTGCAGAGGAGCCATCACTGAGCAAGTGATGCAATGCTACATTTCTCCAAATCTGATGAAGAAACAAACTCATCGGATTACTTGTGGATTATTGTGATGTTTTTATCAGCTGTTTGGACTCTCATTCTGACGGCACCCATTCACTGCAGAGGAGCCATCACTGAGCAAGTGATGCAATGCTACATTTCTCCAAATCTGATGAAGAAACAAACTCATCTTCATCTCTGATGGCCTGAGGGTGATAACATTTTCAACTATTCCTTTACTGAATAGTGTTTTCTGGCAAGACTTATAGCTATTCTTTATTAACAATACACAAAATGCATACAAAGTAAATAGTCCACAACATTATAGCATGTGTACAATACAATTTGCTTCCTCTATATCCAAACTGACTTGAGTCACATGACCCAGTTTGGCAGCCATTTTGGTTCTGCATTACACAGTTTCCCCATTTTCACTGGATATCATGGAAAAAGTAAAGTAAAGTACCTTGCTGTTGTGGTGGCAGTGGGCTGTCCGACTCAGAGCCTGAGGTCAGTTTGGGGCTTTTAGCACCTCTGCAGCTCTCTGGATCCGTTCGGCAAGGAGCTGCAGGAAAAATCCCAAACAGATGTTGTTCATAAAACATGACTTTTCAATTACTCACCCCCCTTCGGAGCGCGCCGCATGCACACGGCTCTGAGCGCAACCCAACACGGCCCTGCTAATGCTCAGGAAATATTACATCACTGAAAACTAAACTGGTGGGTGTAAATATATTTTTGTGACCAGTTAACAAACTTAAGACTCCAAATCCTCCCAGAATTCCCCGCTTGACTGCTGGCCGGAAAAACTGTGGGAAATACCCAATATTACAAACAAAATACCTCACATTTAATGTCATCTAATTTGGTGGTGACAAGCAAGCAGGGCTATTATCGTTAACTAAAAGTATTAAAATATTTTATTAACTCAAATAAAGTTGAAATAAAATAAAATATAAATATGACATAAAAACTTTGAATTGTTGCCTTGGCATCTATAACTGAAATAAAGGGTTAGTTCACCCAAAAATGAAAATTAGGCTGTGTTTTACTCACCCTTGAGGCATCCTAGGTGCATATGACTTTCTTCTTTCAGACGAATCCAATCGGAGTTATATTAAAAATTGTCCTGGCTCTTTCAAGCTCTATGATTGCAGTCGGCGGGTGTTTTTTTCAACAGTCCACAAGACGTTAAATAAAGCGCACGCATCCATAATAAAACATGCCTCACGCGGCTCCGGGAGGTGAATAAAGGCCTCCTGTAGCGAATCCATGTGTTTTTGTAATAAAATTATACATATTTCAAACGTAATAAACACTTCTCTCTCACTTCATCCAACTGTCAAAAGCGGAAGTCGTTCCGGCGGATGACGTAGGCGTTGCGTGATCAGTGACGAACACGGAGAGAGAACAAAACAAAACGCTCGTCATGAATTGAACCAAGGTCATGAACCGAGGATTTGTAAAGAAGAATGTTGGAGGATTTCGATATAAGCCAAGAGGAGACTGTTTTTCCTTTGCTAAAGTAAGGAAACTTTGCTTCCTTTGCTCCTGTAAACAAACTCGCGAGACTAGCATATCTCACAGGTGCATGCGAAACGCATATGTCCTACGTCATCCGCGGGAACAGCTTCCGCGTATACGACTGAAAAGTGTTTATTACGTTTGAAATATGGATATTTTTCTTACAAAAACACATTGATTCGCTACAGGAGGCCTTTATTCACGCCCTGGAGCCGTGTGAAGCATGTTTTATTATGGATGGATGCGCTTTAGTTGACGTCTTGTGGACTGTTGAAAAAAACACCCACCCACTGCAATGATAGAGCTTGGAATAGCCAGAACAATTTTGAATATAACTCCGATTGAATTCGTCTGAAAGAAGAAAGTCATATGCACCTAGGATGCCTCGAGGGTGAGTAAAACACAGGCTAATTTTCATTTTTGGGTGAACTAACCCTATAAGTTTAAACATTAATATTACCAACTGGAAATAAATAAAAAACTAAACTTAAAACTGACATAAAAATACATTAAATCTAGATAGAAATATCTTTAAAAACCCCCCCAAAAAAAAAAAAATGTTGAAAAAAACACCCACCCACTGCAGTGATAGAGCTTGGAATAGCCAGAACAATTTTGAATATAACTCCGATTGGATTCGTCTGAAAGAAGAAAGTCATATGCACCTAGGATGCCTCGAGGGTGAGTAAAACACAGGCTAATTTTCATTTTTGGGTGAACTAACCCTATAAGTTTAAACATTAATATTACCAACTGGAAATAAATAAAAAACTAAACTTAAAACTGACATAAAAATACATTAAATCTAGATAGAAATATCTTTAAAAACCCCCCCAAAAAAAAAAAAAAAAAATGTAAACAAAATGAATACAAAAAATATAGTTATATAAAAATTATATTTGTCATTTTTTACATATTAAAATATATATAAAAGTCTCATTCAAAATAGTAATAAAAACTACAATAGTATTTAAATAATACCAAAATAACAATGTGAGAAAGCTATGAAAATCAATTGAAAAAACATTATGGAGAGAGTTTGATTAGGAGATTTTAAGGCAAGCATTACTATCGTTCATAAATAAAAAAAATAAATAAAGATTATTTCCCAAGTACTCAAAAGTAATTACTCAAAAGTAGTTGTGCATGCTGATTTAGTATTTTAATATTTTATTCACCCCCCAAAAAAAAAAAAAAAAAAATGTAAACAAAATGAATACAAAAAATATAGTTATATAAAAATTATATTTGTCATTTTTTACATATTAAAATATATATAAAAGTCTCATTCAAAATAGTAATAAAAACTACAATAGTATTTAAATAATACCAAAATAACAATGTGAGAAAGCTATGAAAATCAATTGAAAAAACATTTTTTTTCAAGAGAGTTTGATTAGGAGATTTTAAGGCAAGCATTACTATCGTTCATAAATAAAAAAAATAAATAAAGATTATTTCCCAAGTACTCAAAAGTAATTACTCAAAAGTAGTTGTGCATGCTGATTTAATATTTTAATATTTTATTTATTTTGCATGCAATTAATAAACTCCAAAAAAACATGTTGGCTTGATATCACTAGAAGTGACACAGATTTAGGCATTGAACAGCTGAAAAAGAAAGTAGAAGATAGGAAAGCACGGCGAGAGTTGGCCCATTGGATCGCCAAGACTCGGATACGACTGAATGGCTAATCATCATCAATAAACTGGCAAGCACTCCCACCACAATACCAACATGTCTGTGCAAAACTTTCTGCCAAGCATGACGCATTTTCTTAAAATAAATGGGGAAAAACAAGTTTATTTACTACAAATGTTAGTGAAACTTAAATCTTAAGACTCTTATGGGAAAGGCTTCAAAAAATGCACCTGGACCACTTTTTTCTCTAATTAACACTCTTCAAATGTCCTTGGCTTGCAATACACAACTCAACCATAATGCATGAAAAAAAAAAAAAACGCAAACAAGTGCAAAAAAATCAACCTCGCCTCTGGAGGACGAGGCCGAGATATTTACTAGCAGTTCATAACAAATCAAACATGTTGGCTTGATATCACTAGAAGTGACAGATTTAGGCACTGAACAGCTGAAAAAGAAAGTAGAAGATAGGAAAGCACGGCGAGAGTTGGCCCATTGGATCGCCAAGACTCGGATACGACTGAATGGCTAATCATCATCAATAAACTGGCAAGCACTCACAACACAATACCAACATGTCTGTGCAAAACTTTCTGCCAAGCATGACGCATTTTCTTAAAATAAATGGGGAAAAACAAGTTTATTTACTACAAATGTTAGTGAAACTTAAATCTTAAGACTCTTATGGGAAAGGCTTCAAAAAATGCACCTGGACCACTTTTTTCTCTAATTAACACTCTTCAAATGTCCTTGGCTTGCAATACACAACTCAACCATAATGCATGAAAAAAAAAAAAAACACGCAAACAAGTGCAAAAAAATCAACCTCGCCTCTGGAGGACGAGGCCGAGATATTTACTAGCAGTTCATAACAAATCAAAGCGCTCTTCGTTTCATGTGTCGATTAACACTCTTCAAACGTCCTTGGCTTGCAATACACAACTCAACCATAATGCATGAAAAAAAAAAAAAACACGCAAACAAGTGCAAAAAAATCAACCTCGCCTCTGGAGGACGAGGCCGAGATATTTACTAGCAGTTCATAACAAATCAAAGCGCTCTTCGTTTCATGTGTCGTTTTAAGTCGTTTGGCACATCGACGCACAGTTTGTTGAATTTCTCCCCAGATATCGTCCTGTCGGTTGGAGAGCCTGAGAGTCTGGCACGCCGCTCCAACTGAGACGTCAAAGTGCTCTCCATCATCTCTGGAAAACCTCCGGGACTTTTTTTTAGAGGCCGAGAGCCCAGATCCTTCTGAATGAGAGACGGCCGAGCCGGGCTTTGTTTTGTCAAGAGCAGAAGAACATGCTTGGATGAAGGAAACGAGGGACTGATATTTTGCAGAGAGCTATGAAAGACAACACTGCCGCATTTCCACTTTTCCCAGCCATTTAACTTCACATCAGAGTCCATGTCGGCCAGATTCGTGCCAGTTTTGTCAGGCACTGGTGGCCGACGAGAAATGTTGTTTTTGGACTGACGCCGCGGCCTTCGAATGCTCAACCTACGCCGCGCGTCTGCCAACATAAACCCCCAAAGCCACAGCGCTTACACTGCTGACGGGCAGAAATTAATCGTGAAGGCCGAACATGAGGCAATTTATCAATGGCCGCTCTAATGCGTGGGCTGTGGCGAGAAAGGCAGGGTGCATCATGGGAGCCATGCCACTGGGAAAAGAGACTTAGAAAGCGTGCGAGAGAGAGAGAGAGTAATTAGCTTCGGTTCTGGGTAAAAACACACTCATATGCAAGGCATGGGAAAGATCTGTCTTAGGAACTTGTAAATACCAGCAACTGATCTCACTGGCCGTGTAAACTGCCGCCCGGAGCTACATCCCAGAATAATCGCTAGCAAAGATCAGTAAACAAAGAAGGTTCTCAAGAACACAAAACACTGAGGGCTGAATGCACACAAATACACAAAACACGGAACACTATGGCAGAAAGGCTTGAGTTTCCAGAACTGGCTGCTGCTGGTGTCGGTCTGGAGGCGGAGCAGCTCCGCCCACTTAAAGATGACTCCGCCCTTCTGGTATTCTCACTCGTTTGATGACACAATCAAGGGCTCACGGTTTGAATAGTTAGCATGGGTCAGTTAACCGTACTGGCAGATGTTAAAACTACAAAAATATGCTGTCAAAATGCATGTTTCTCCACTGATGGCCATTTTAAAGTAACCGTGCAGTCTGACACAACAATTTTTGGCAAGCAACATATACAGCACAAATATTTAATTACATTATGCGGAAAATGTATTCTCTCTGTCTGCTGTCTTTGATGTCACAAATCAGGAAAATCTATAGTTTTAAAGAAAATAAAAATATCTACATTTTTCATAAAAATATTTAAATGTATATACATTTCTAAATGTGTGTGTATACATTTTTACAATTATGTAGC